TGGGCCTCTCGGATCAGTCGAGTGCAAGCGGGGGAGTCTGGTTGCACGCAGAGACGGTTAGAGTAGAGCAGCAGTCCGTTCTCTATCCGATACTTATCAGGGAGAGTACGGCGCTCGTTCTCGAACGACGTGCGGTTTTGCTGCAGAAGGAGCTCGATCAGCTCGAGGGAGTCTAGGGACATGGTCTCCTGAGTGGGCTCAACTACTAGCAGCGAGGTGGCTTGCTCGGACAGTTGTTCCACATATGCTTTAGCGAGTTCGGAGTTGATTCGGTTGTCAAGTCGGTGCGGTCCTAGGAGGACCCGCGAACGGTTGTCGATTTGGGCGGTCCTCAAGTTCTGCATATCCTGCTCACGACGGCTAAGGATATCGGCGCGAGCGTTGTCCTTGCCGGGCGTGTATCGGATNCAGAAGTTGAACGAGGCGAGTTGTTCAGCCCATCTCACTTGTCGGGCGTTCAGAACCTTNGTAGTCATGAAGTATTCCAGCGAGCGGTGGTCAGAGTACACTTGCACTTGAGAGTGAGTCGAGGCTAGCTCGGATCTCCACTTGTCGAATGCTACCACGATAGCATACAACTCTTTATCGTGTATCTCCCAGTTCAGCTCCGATCCGGATAGGACTTTGCTGAAGAAAGCTACTGGGCACCATAAGCCATTAGGTTGGTTCTGAGACAGTACCCCAGCCACAACACCATCAGATGCGTCCGTCTCTACCTTAGTATCATACTCTGGGTGGTAGTGATACAAGGTGGGGATTGCTAGCAAGGCTGCTTTTAACCTCTCAAAGGCACGGTCGCATTCCGGATCCCATAAGAATGACTTCGAAGGGCTCTGGAGTGCGATAATTGGCTTAGCAATTCGCGAGTACTCTGGAACGAATTGCCGGTAGAATCCTGTAAAGCCAAGGAACGACTTTACACCAGTAACGGTGGTGGGTCGGNCCCAGTTGCGGAGGGCTTCGACCTTGTCAGGATCTACCTCTAGGCCTTTGCTAGTAAGGATATATCCCAAATACTTCGTCCGAGTGACATGGAATTCACTTTTCTTGATGTCAACTTGGAGTCCTGCTTGTCGTA